GAAAGTTTTCTGCGGGCGCCCATGTATGCGTATACTGATTAAGCTAAGTAACTAAGTATATTACTTATACTACAATTGTGTATATACTTTATACTGCATAATATTTAGTATAGTAATAGGCTATTACTATTATACTACCGGTATACAGATATTATTCGCAGATTTCGGTCTGCCGATAACGCTAAACATTATTCACAGAGCTGTGTGGATAACGCTCGCCGTTATTCACAGATTTCGGTCTGCCGATAACGCTAAACGTTATTCACAGAGCTGTGTGAATAACGCTTCCCTATAAAAAATACTATTCTCGCTGTCGCTCGCTATAGCTCACTCTGTCTAGCTCTAGATCACTAGTTCACTCTGACGCTAAAAATCGTTGTCTCCCTTTATCACCCAAAATCCATGCACTCTAACTTGATGACAAGAGTTCACATAACCCAACATTCACAAATCACAATACCTCTGAATTACTTTTACAACAAGGAAAAGTAAAAAAAAAAGTTAACTAGGTGGAGTTCACACATACAGAAATGCACCATGCCCCCGATTGTCTGATTGATTTGTACAAAATGATTGCGTTGGGGTAGGGCAAGTGAGCCTTCTGTGCAAAATGTAATTAATTGTCCTATGCTTATACTATACTCCTTCCATTGCTCTATGAGTGCAAAAGTAAGTTCTAATATAATAATCTAATTGAAAGTAATTGAATTTCTTATTCATTTAGTCTAACTTATATTATATTATGTTAAATTGTTTATTTTAAATTGTAATAGCCTGTCTTAATTAATTTTTTTGTTTATACAGTCAAACACTCACTGCCGCACTATGAAAATGGTTCTTCATGAAAATGGGGACCGTAAGTGTTATGGGAAGGGGATGCAGAGCAGCGGTAACTTTTTCTTTATATTAAGGGGTGTCATTTTCATCAAACTACAGAGTTTTCTCATGGAAGGGGGGCTGCAAAAAGCTTGGCCCACCCCGGCAGAATTAACCCGAACTAAGCCTCTGGGCATTCAATAAATAATGTGAAGTATGTTATAGCTGCATAAGTCATTCTTATTCACTCATATTCATTTTATATCCAAGAAGGCAAAATAATACACTTGACTGAGCTGAAGTTAAAGCCACTTATTATAGTTATCTGAATTATTGTAACTGAGTGAGCCTAAATTTTAGGTTACATTGAACCATATAATAATCACTGCATGCATTTTTTTCCATTTAAAAGTTATGCAATGAAATAATACAGTATTGTATGTAATTCAGGGAGAGAGGGGATCACAAATAGCAAATTTCTGTGGGTTCACAAAGAGCTTTCAGTAACGGGTAGTTCGAGCTGCTGTCTTTTTCCTTTCAAATTTTATATTAGTATGTAACAGTTGTGTCACTTGACATCAAAGTAATTAAGCATCTTCAAGTTGTCAGACTCATTTAAGTCAGAAAGTTTATTTTCAGGGAAAGCGTTTATTGTTACTTTTGTTAAGAATATTTCCACAATAATCTTTTCTTTTTCTGGAAGAGGGCCAGGCTCTACTTGTTGCACACCTTTCAATTTTGCTATATTAAAATTTTGCTCAGATCTCAAGATGAACTTCTTTTTGTAAAGAATGACCAATCAACCTTTGCTAAGACTTGTGACTGTGGATGTCACAAATACACTTATTAAAGTCGTGGGTTCACCAGGGTTCCAGTATGCTTATATAGGACGGAAGCATGGAGTTACAATGGATGAAAATGTGCTTAATGGTTTGAATTCTTTGATTCTCCTACATTGTAATAAATTTTGCTTTCCCTAGTTAATCATGATTGTTAAAGAAATAGAAATAAAATATTGAGGAAGAAAATTACAGAAAGTAATTAAGAAAATTGGTAGAGTAATACATTTAAGAGGAAGCAAAATTTAACTCTAAACCTAGATTTTTAAATGAACAAAAATAACACTATTTAGTGTTAATTTTGCATACAACATGTGCTTTTGAATTAAAAAAAAAAAATTCTGATGTATCATTAGTAGACATACATTTAAACATCATATATTAAAACTTGTAGTCTGCTATGGGTTTTATTATATTTTTTCTTCATTAGGTCTGTTTCTAAAGTACTACAAACAGTACTCTCAAAAATATCCCAATTTTGGTGTACAGGATATGATGCCAGCTCATGTCTGGTGGGATTCACTAGTAAAAGATTGTTTCAGAGCAGCTGATTCAACTATACAGGAGCATAAGCTAGATAAAATAGCAACTGATTTGTTCTTTCATTACACTACTCCAAAAGCATGGGAGATATTACCAGGGGCGCTAGGTGCTATCAAAGTAAGTTGAAAGTGGTAGATTTGGAATAGGAAAGTATATATTTCTTGAGAAGGGAACATATGCTTATAATAGGGAAGACTGTCATATAGATAATTATTTTTGCTTTACATCTTGGATGGATAAATTTAATAGACCAAAAATGTTAACTTGGATATTTCCTTTAGGGTGGTATTTAAAATTCTAATGTCAACCATATATGTTCAGCTGTAGTCAGATTTGCTAAACATTGGCAGAAACAGTAAATTATATAATTCTGCCTCTGGGAATAACCCTCAATTGGAGTCAGCCAACATAGTAATATTAGTAAACATGGCATGGAAAATTATTTGGTGTCTTTAATGCATTATTCTTTTCTTTCTTAGGACCTTCGTAGATACCCAATAAAGATTGGTGTGATATCTAACTGGGACCATCGTTTGTATAAAGTTCTACTCACAATGAAACTGCGTCCTTATTTTGATTTTGTTTTACCTTCTTCTGTGGTGGGGGTTGAGAAGCCAGAAAGTTTGATATTTTACCAGGCTTTAAAGGTTGGTATCAAATGTTATAGTCACTGGTCTATCCGGCATCCTTCCGTCTCGTGAGACGATGGTGCATCACCGTTGGTTTGGGTTGCATTTTCTCGAGTGGCTGTGCAGTCCTATCCTTGAGTGATAGTCTTTACCACAGTTTTTACACACGAGTTCCGTGCTTCCAAATGTTTTGGCCTTTCTCCTAGCTCTTCTGTCTGCAGCCTCTTCCATTCTTCGTTCCTCGGCTACCATGACGCCCTCTTTGACAACTGTGCGCCACGTAGATCGGTCTTTTGCCTTACACTCCCAGTCACTTGTATGTATTTTGGCTGCTTTCATGTCCCTTTGACAGACATCTTTAAATCGCAGACGTGGGCGACCTGTTTTCCTCTTTCCAGAAGCAAGTTCACCATATAGGAGGTCTTTCGGAATGCGGCCGGGACTCATTCTTTTAACATGACCTAGCCATCTCAGGCGTCTTTCACAAAGGATTGTGAACATGCTTTGGCTATTCGCACGCATTAGGACCTCATAGTCACTGGTAGTTCAACTGATTTTAACTTATGCTAGATGTTAATCTGTGCTATGCACTAAAACTTGGCTCTTGAGAATGATGTCTTCTTAGTTTAAGGAAAAGCTGTACATTGGATTATAACAATCCAAATTTTCTTTGCACTCCAATTATTTTTCACATTTTATAGCTATTTTCTGAGAAGATGTATATTTAATGCTGTTTTGAATTAAAGATAACCTGCATGTGAGAATTTTGAAATTAATTGTGGCCAAAAAAAAGACTAGTAAAATACATTTGCAAAGTAAATTAATCTATTCTGATTAGCCATTGGACTTTTAAATTAATAGTAAAATCAGTCCTCATTTTGAATCCCCACAGGATGCACAATGCCAGCCTGATGAGGCAATCCACTTTGGTGACAGCCTTGAGAAAGATTTCATAGGTGCACAAAATGTAGGGATGGGAGCTTATCTTCTTGCCACAAGCCAGGAACAATACAATTTTCTTGATCCAAGTTTGGTTGTTGAAAGTGTACCTGCTTTTGTAGAGGCCATCCGCCCAAAACTTAATAGTGCCAGAGAACAAAAAGATGAAGAAACGAAAACTGTCTTCAGTTGATTCATTAAAATTGGGCTTGACCAAACATTAGTTTTTGTTATTTTCAAAACACATTAAAATATTAAAACACATCAAATTTTACTGGTTACTAGATCAAAAAAAGTGAACTTGCTAACTCATGCAGTATATATATGTGCATATAAATTATATATTTAAAGGACATAAGGCTGACAAAGCTAACATTGCTGCTCATTTCATGTTTTGGTGTGGCCACTATCAAGGTTAATAAATGCATCCAAATTAGCCTCTGTTTTGAATCGTGTTAAAAAATGTGTGCCAGCTTCTCCAACACAAAGCAAAATAAAGGATTAAAGTTAGAAGAAATTTTTAGGCAGTTGTTGATCAGGGTCATTACATCGAACAGTCCATGTAAAGATCAGGATTTGTAAGGTTTATGATTTATGCAGCATAAAGTTGTTGGGACAAAAAGATTAAATAAATGTCACTTTTGAACAAAAAATCATTGCCCCTGATGTTGCTTAATATGTTCTACATCCTTCAGCCTAATCTTGAAAGTGGCTTCAAATGAACATTTTGAACAATAATTCTATCCAATCAACAATTTCAACATATCATTGTTTAAGCAGGACTTCTGTTTTGTTTTATTTTAACTATTTGTATCTCAGCCTTGTGCATGATTTAATTTTACTTTTAAATACCGGCACAACAAACAGAAAAGGGTAAAAGAAAGGTACCAGGTACCAGTGTTGAAAAAGGACATTCAGTTAATTTTACTATTTTGTGGTATATTTGATATCAATGTTTTACTATTTATAAGCGACTTTGTACAGAAAATGAATCTTCAATAGTTATTTTTACCATGTTGTGGTACATTTAATGTGCAATGTTTCCTATTAACAAGTGTCTTTGTGTTGGATATTTGATTTTCAAGTTGAAAATGAATCCCCATTTTAATTTTTTAGTAAAAACACCTGTAGGATTTCTATAAATATAGCTTAAAAACTGAATCTCAATGTTGTATGTTTAAAAGAAATGTTAACTAACTTATATTGTGTAGCGTTTGTATAAATCCCACAATAATATGATCTAAATACATTTTTATCAGCACTGGATTAAGTGCTGATGGTTGCATGGATGAAAAACAAATTTAAGGGTTTATGCATAATTTGAATGATTTATGGGTACCTCGTACCGTAACAGTATTCTGCTTTGTGTTTTAATATTAAACAGTTTCCAATTTGCAGCTGTAAAATAGGATGCATTCCATTTTTTTACTGCTATTTCTGGTAATTTGCCTTACTTAAATTTTATTTACCTGGAAATTGTGTCACTCATTAAGGTGTGTATTTTCTAAAACATTTGATAGTTTAACATGTATGCAAAGAAAAATGAATACCATATTCATAATGTTTCAATCAGTGGTAATTTAAATATTTTTTTTTTAAAGATTGGATTCCCTATCAAAGACGATTTATAAAAAAAAGTGATGGAAAATAATGACAAAAAAAATTCCTTTAAAGACTGTTGCTAGTTAAGGAAAACAGTTAAAGTGCATGTTTACACTTGCAGAAAATCTGGTTAAGTATGGCATAATGCTCCAGAGGCAGCACAAATTTCATGTACCTGTAGCACAAATTTCATGTACCTTTAGCACAAATTTCATGTACCTGTAGCACAAATTTCATGTACCTTTGTAGATATATCCTTTTTTTCTATTTAATTTAATCATAATTTTTTTTAAAAATACTTATGCTGCATAATGTACAATTATGTAAAGCAAATTTTTTCTTCTTTTGATTTATGGAAAGTTTACTTATTTAAATTTTTGTTTGAGATATATTTTCCGTATCCATCACTGTGATGTTTAACTCTTACTCTTATATTTAATATCTAATGTTTGAAAAGCAAATAATTTATAAGGAGTAACACTATATTTTGTACCTGTAATTTTTGTTAAAGTGCTTTTAAAATGCTTTATGAAATTTGAACATATCTTCTATTTGAAATTTTGCTTCTGAATTTATCTTAATTATCATTTGTAATAGAATTAATTTGTTTTGTTTTATTTAAAAACGGATTAAAATGAAATCATTTTTATTTCAAAATTTGCTTCATTGTATTAGTCTATGCATTAGGAATATAAGGTGTAAGTTGTAAGTGTAAATAGAGTTTATTTTACAAGATTATTCTTAATAATAAAGAAACTTAACATTGATAGCGCTAAATGAATCTGCATCATTTGACACAGTCATTTCATGTAGATCTGATTTTGTAAGTTGGCTAATTTAATATTCAATTGTTGGCCTACAAACTAAAATTAATGTAATATTAGTTACAAATGTAACGATTCGGTGATATAATTTTGTTAAAATCAAAGTTCATGTGACCAATAATGATGTAGAACTTAACTATTTTCTACCAAATAAAAATGTAGTGCTGAATAAAACTGTTCATAACCATCTATATCTTAAGATTGCTGGCAAAAAAAAATAAGAGTGGTATGTGCCAGGGTATCTCCAGATTTCACAATGAATTTGGAGCTGGTAACAAAAATGCCTCATTGTTTGAGGGGATTTTAGGGCGTAAGCTGCTGACTTTGGAACAACAGTATACTCCACAATGTCCGTAATCTACCACTTGCATCGTCCGTTGTGTTAGGAATGTTGCGAGCCAGGAGTGAAGGTTGCCGGTAATGCCGTAATGATGGAGCTTGTGCAGAAGAAGGATGTATGGAACAGTGTCAAAGGCCTTGGAGAAGTCGAGAATCGCCATGTCGACCTGGTTACCTTTGTCATAAGAGGCAAGGAGGTGATTGGTAGTGATGATTTATTGAGTTTTTGTTGAGAATCCAGAGCGGAAAGATGCTTTAGGTTGGTCTAAATGTTGGAGTGTTCAATGTGGTTCATGATGTGGCAACAGATGATGTGTTCTAGAATTTTGCCAGGACGGAGGTCAGGGATATTGGGCGGTAGTTTGCTGAGTTATGACGGTCAACTTTCTTGTAGGCACTAGTGATATTTGCATCAAGCCAGTCTAGCGGGAGTTTGCCGGAGTCAAGCGACTTTTGGAAAATGCGGGTGATAGTTGGGGCAATGTTGTCAGACAGGGTCTTCAGGACAATGTTCGGGATACAGTCATGTCCGGGCACTTTATTGGGCTTCAGATTTTTTAGAAGTTTGGGGCTACTCCTGGTTCAGTTATTTTGAAGGGGCCTATTGCAAGTGATGATTTTAGGGATGGTATGACTGTGGTGGAAATTTTGGGGAAGACAGATTGAAACTGCCTTTGGAGAATTTCTGCTTTGCATTGGCTATCACTTACAAGTTGCCCGTTTTCCAGTGGGGGGGCTACGCCAATGTTGTCTTGCTTCTTGGATTTTAGCCGTGTGTTCAGCCATGGTAGATTACACAGATTCTTTGCTGTGGCTGATGGGACATTTTGATCTATGCTGTTGGATAAGGTATTTTTGAAGGTCGACCATAGTGTATCTACATCCTCTCCCTCATTGTATTTTTTGTTAGGATGGCCTGTTCAGCTGCAGTGAGATCTAGCTTGATCTTGTTCCAGTCTGCCTTACTGAACTTGTAATATTTCCTGGATTTCTGGCGCGTTATTTGAGCTTTGGGGTAGAAGTCAGCCACCACGGCGTCATGGTCAGATATGCCTGGGACACACGTGGATTGTTTAACAAGGGTGGGGTTGTACGTGAAGATTAGATCTAGGATGCTGTTTTGACGTGACGGTGTCTTCTGCACTTGTGTGAGTAGTTAGGATGAGGTTAAGTCGACCAGTGATTGCTAAATGGTATTGTCTTTGCCGGTGGCAGGGTTTCTTTCAGCTATATCTCGGGGGGGGGGCACTGCCCCCCCGGAAAGCCAAGCGCCCCCCGAGCAAAAATGTGCCCATCAATAAATCAAGTGCACCGCCCCCCCCCCCTCCCCCCAACAAAAAAGGGTCCAACAAAAAAACAAGTGCACCTCCCCCCCCCCCCCCGAAAAATCCGAAGTGCACCCCTGGGGGAAAATTTCTGAAATAATCACTAGCCTTTGGAGAGGGCAGTATGTGTGGTCCAGTCGATATCGGGGCAGTTGAAGTCACCGGGGACGTTGATGTTACGTGGGTGCTTGCTGTTGGCTGTAAGAATGTTGATGGATTTTTGGAGTTCGTCAAGGTCGCACTGGGTTCTTTTTAGCATATAGAAGGCACCGATGTAGAGGCCTTTCTTGTTTTTTTAAATTTAACCTTTAACGTATTTTGTAATGTCCGTGGCGGTACAGGCATATGCTGCATACGCAACATTGCAATGCATATGATGTATGAAATGTATTGTGTTGCACACATTTTCACTCTTTTTAATTTCATTTTAAGGCACACTTTTCTCCACATCACGTTTTTTTAGCATTAAATGTAATGCAGTAAATTCACATAGATCTAATTCAATAAATGGGAAGAAAAATAGCTTCGTTTTTCAAAGATATATTTTGAAAATGAAAAGTATATAGACCTAGGGAAACATAAAACAATATATATTTCATTTTAATCCAGTGATTCCATGCTGATTCTAGAATGGAAACCAAAAAAATATGTGTGAATTATCTTTAAGAATTTAAGTAAGACATTTAAGAAGTCTGAGAAATATTCGCGATTGGCTGCTCTCCAGCTATGTAAACTTGTTCGAGGATGTTTCCAATGCTATTATACAAACATTATTGAATAATTTATCTTTCACGGAACTTTACTAATTAGTTATCACAAGATGAACAAGTTTGCTACCGCTGATATAATAACCAAATTATTACATTTAAAAAGTTAATTGAAAAATAAAATTGCGAATTTAAATTATAAATAACATATTCAAATATAAAAGTTGGAATCAGGACGATTGTAACGAATCGCGAATAATATTCTTTGACCCTAGATTTGAGGTAAATAAAATAAGAAAACATTACTAAACACGGTTCATTTTAAATTTTATAAATTTCAAGCTCATATTTTCAAAGACGTTTTATCTATAATGCATTATTTTTATAGGCCTATGAGAAATTAGCGTATTGATAAATGTGTAAACGGTACAGTACTAACTTCTAACATTCAACTGACTAATTGAAATTGACAATACTAATACTCAATACTGAATACTATTTAAAATATTTATTACTGTATTACTATACAATTGACAATACTGAGTATACTGTATAATGTATAATTTTTTAATAGTATAGTACTATAGTATAGTGTATACTATACTAATACTAATAATATACTCTGAATCCTGAATGAACAATAAAATAACAGATAATAAATTAAATAATTTAAGTCAAAGTTAAAGAAATTTTAAAGTTAAAATTAGAAACGACTTCTACTTCACTTCTTAATTCTTAAACTTAAGGGAAGCGTTATACGCAGTCGGCTGCACATAACCCTGAGAGTGAGAGTTATACGCAGTTGACTGCGCATAACCCTGAGAGATATTCCCAGCCGACTGCGTATAACTCTCAGGGTTATACGCACTCGGTTGGGAATTTAGCCAAATAAGGTTTATTACTGCTAGTTTGGCAATTTAAAAAAAAGTATTATGCGTAATTAGCTGCAATATGGGTTGTTTTGAACTATAACTTTTAATGTGTTTAACGTAAAATTTTAATTGAATTAATTTTAATTAATATTGACTGATACTGATAGTAATAGTATTAGTGAATTAGTATTATTGCTTGTATCTTATATATTATAAGCCTAAGTCAAAGACTAAATTTTTTTAGAGCCTAAGACTAAGAAGATGATTATGCCTTAAGGCATTTCCATGGTTTAAGTCTAGTTCTGTATTCTGATTGATTAGGTTTTTATATGTTGCTATGACTATGTGGTTGGTTTTACTGAGTAATTCAGGAAATACATTCTATTTATTTTAACAAAATTATATCATTTATGATTGTTAAAAAAAAATTTTTGGTGACCTAAATGTAACAGTTTTCAGCTTCCATGCAAAACTATAACTGTTTGATAGTATTACTTACAGTGCCCCCTCTACAGAACCCCCTGCCCTACAGCTATTTTTTTCTGCTACTCTCCACCCCTGATTATAATTACTGTACCAGAGAAACGTGTTTTTATCTGCCACAAAATTAGTTAACAACACAAAATATATATTAACAACACAAACATATATTATGATTATTAAAATTATAAGAATAACATTATTAACATTACATTGGTCAAGTTAATTATTATCATTTTTTAACATTTTTAGCCAAAACAAAAGTAAAACAATAAGCCTAGCTGTTTTTGCTTCATTCTCGAGAACAAACTTAACAACCAACAAATGTACATTCTCGACTGGCATTTGGGTGGAATTGAACTCCTGAACACCAACTTGTGGCTTGCTCAGTTTATACCATTCAACCACCCAGTCACCCTGATAACGATGTACCTTTATCGATCGATACTGTAACACAGGAAGTATATAGACCTCACGTGACTTGCCGACTGCGTATAACAACTTCGTAAACTTAAATTTTAAAAAAATAATAATTTAGTTAGTTGATTAATAATTATTCATATTTATTATTTAATATTTAATAATATTTTGTTAAAGAACGACAACAGCTATTAATTACGGTTATCTAATAATATAATGACAAAACTCTGAGTTTGAGATTGAATCATTGAGTCATTGTTTGATTGATTTTTTAAATATTGACTTTGATTTGTGAATCATTTGTGATTCATCCATTTGATAGTTACTTATTAATGTACTTGTTGAACATTGTGAGTGTAATATTTGTCTTGCAAGCTGCATAACTTTGGACCATGACTATGGTATTTTCATTTTACATTTAACGTTTAAATTCTCATGCTGGCTGCCTGATGATGCTGAGAAACCAAAGGGTGTGTGTGTGTGGGGGGGGGGGGGTTGGTGCATGGGTGGGTGTAATTATGAATGCATGGATCATTTCTAAGTTCTGCCATAGAATTGAATAACATTAATGCATTTAATGAGTGAAAAAAAAGTCTCCATGTTAATGGGTTAGAGACATGGTTCTCAACTTGTGGGTCATGACCCCCTCGGGGTCACCAGAAAAATTGTTTTTATGTGTCTGATTTGTATTTGAATTTTTATTTTAAAAAATGTAATTTAGGCTATGCTTTGTGATATGTAGGCTAAAGTTTGAAATCATTATGTTGATAATTTAGAATTTTTCCAAATGAAAATGTTCAGAAATATCTGCTGAGAGTGAGGGACTTAAAATGGATGGAGTATTAGTATTGAGAGACCTGCTGAGAGAGGTTTTTTTGGAGAATGAGTATTAAGGGAACTATTGAGAGTGAGGGACTTATATATAGCTTTGTGACACTGAGCAGATTGAGGTGACATTGTAAAAGTGTAAGAAGTACAAGGTAATTCTTTCTAAAAAAAAACTAAGTTCTGTGACTGATGATGCCTTACCTTTTATGTTGAGATTACTGGTGAGCTGTGGTAAATGAGTGAAGCAGACTGCAAACAAAAATCTAACAAATGACTTCTTGATTTTAGTTTGTTCTTTAGACTTAGTCAACTTATCTTAGTATGTAACTTTGCAATTATTAATTGTACTCTTAATTACATGTGTCATGAATCATGGCAAATCTGAAACCATAGTGAATCTTGATAAGATTCAGCTAAGGGCTTAATTGCCTTGAGGCTGATCAATTGAATTCATTCATCTACAATGTATCAAAAATAATTATCAATAAATTTTTTTTAAAAATTTTAAAAAAAATTATTATCTTATTCTTACTTTCCAATCTCTAATCACCCTACCATTATGAGAAGTTAAAGAGTTATCAAAATTTAATTTCATTATTTAGCAAATCACAATTTTAAAGTCATGTGTAGAGATCTACTTGTGAATTGATCTGTTCACTGATGTATTCTTTATTTTACACACCATGACTTAGTTGAGTTGCTTAAAGTTTTTAAAATTAAATAGATATAATCTTTCGAGTCTCACTACTTAAACTGGTCATCTTAAAAGAGCTATTTAATCTATTAAATACCACTAGTATATAAAAAAAAATTGTGAAAATTGTAGTTTCTTTGATCACTGCCTTTAACTTTCCATCTCACTATTCTACACTATATTACATTATTTCTTTTTTTTTTTTTTTTGCAGCTGAATCTTTTTAATAAAATGGAGGCCATAAGTGCAAATCAGGTTCAGCTAATGTCCCTGGAGAGGGGAAGAGCTAGGATTCAAACAAGGCCCCACTTAAGTGGGAGTCCAAGTACCACTAGTATATAAAAAAAAATTGTGAAAATTGTAGTTTCTTTGATCACTGCCTTTAACTTTCCATCTCACTATTCTACACTATATTACATTATTTCTTTTTTTTTTTTTTTTTTGCAGCTGAATCTGTTTAATAAAATGGAGGCCATAAGTGCAAATCAGGTTCAGCTAATGTCCCTGGAGAGGGGAAGAGCTAGGATTCAAACAAGGCCCCACTTAAGTGGGAGTCCAAGAGAACAGGTCTGATATAAAAATTAAATTTGTATATTTCTTTAGAAATACAAGTCACTTATAAAAATGTTATTTTATTTCTTTATTTAATCATCTATTTTATAATGTTTGACAGTTAATCTATCTATGTTATTCTATCATTTGGATCAGTCTGTATTTTATCCTATCATTTGGATCATATTGTATCCGTCTTAACCTTTATCCTTTATTAAAGATTTTTAAATTGCGCAAATAATTTTTGAATCTATATTATGTTTTAAAAAATCAGTAGATCTCACTAATTTTAACGATCTAAAATAGTGATTTCTCAACTCTTAATTTCTTGCAAATCCCTTATAAAGTGTTCTAGATTTTTATTTTAAAAATTTATATTTTTTATAGTGTGTATCTTCTAACCTGTTGATATATAGTTATGATGCTTAAATTATTCTTTTTTTCACATCTTTACAATTCCATGATATTAATTTCCATTCTACTTCTATTTTTTTTAGGGTGATGGTGCCCCTGTCATGTCAACAATAAATGAGACTTCAGATACAGAAATACATGATTCAGAGAGTAAACCATTCACAGTAAAGGTTGAAATTGATGTAATGCAGATCTCTCTTGCTATATTGTCCCTACTAACAAGAACATGGAGACTTGGAGTACCAAGAGCTGTAGTGTAAGGACATTTCCTGTTGTCATATGTGATATAGAAGAAATTGTAGCATAAGACAATGCAATAAAACCACTTGTAGTTGTGATTTTATTTTTTAAACAATGCATGTAAGCAGAAGAATTTTATTAAATTATAAAGAATTCTTAACTCAAAGGTACTTTAAAAACACTATTAGATTTTTAAAAATTCTACCTTAAATCCTTCACCAATAATTGAACCACCCTCACCATTACATCAATAATACTTATATTCTACAACATAAAATTTACTTTTGAAGTGCTAAAAAAAAAATTCAAAATCTCTGGAAGTTAAAATCAATCAATGCATTTCAACACGTTTCAATCACCTAACATCCTTAGCTCGACAGATTTTTTTTTTATCTGCATAAAAATATAATTAAACATTTCTGACAGAAAACTTTGAATCAAGATGTTTAGGTCATTTAAAATAAAGTACAAAATTAAAGTGTCCCAATAAATTTATTTATTTTCAGTTTTGATGAGCTTCATTTCGCCAAATTCGTATCTTTATATATCAAGCACATTTTTTTCTTTGATGTTCACCCGCCACTTGGAAAACTTCTCCTAGCTTCGGCAGGTAAATAAGTGTTCTTGATGGGTCTTTGAAGGAGCAAATACTGTTAAAGCCTAAAGAAAAGTGATTACTAACACATGTTGAAGGCCATGCAGCAATGTTACCCAGTTTTTTTAGATTTGAAACTATTTCACTCAATATGTGGCATAGTGTTCTCAAGTATGAACAACGGATAAAGGAAGACATATTTAAATTATCTGGAGTTGCATCCAAGGGGGGGGGAAAGAGGAATAGATGCGGCATGAATATGTGTGATCAGTAACTGTTCATGAACCATTTCATCAACATTAGAGTTTAACCTTAAAGGAATCATCAATATTTTAAATATCTGTGTAAAAAAATTTCACTGGTGACTGATAAATCATGTGATCTTTGAGGATCTAACATTTCAAACACTTTGCACAAGGGAAGTAAAGAAAAAATGTCTAACCTTGTTCAGACTGTGGTTAATATTTTTATAGAAGATTTTTACATGTAACAGCCTTTACAAAATAGATGCTTTTTAAGATGGAGAAAATCTGTTTGGTGTTAAAACTTGAAATGTTAAATAGTTAATCAAGTTAGTGTATACTTTTATTTCTAACAGGTAGATATGCTGGTTTTGAAGGAGATATAAATTTTGAAAGGATAGGAGCAGGTAATAAATTAAGGACTTAATTGGTATTTTCCCTCTGTACTTATGGATTTTTTTTCATGTGTCATTGTGAGGATTGAAAAACTTTATGGTATTTGTAATTGATGTTTCTTTTAGCTGAGACTATTAGAAAAATTTATTTCATAAATAAAAATAAAACTTCTGAGTTTACTTATCATTTTTATTAACAGAAATGTTGTAAATGTTTATAAATGAATAGTAAAAGCAAGATCTTCAAAGCATTAAAATTCATTTAAATATAAAAATGTGCATTTGTCCCCAGAATTTCCTGCATCTGTCCCAGTAGAAATGCTGAGAGCATTCCCAGCTGTTTTGGGCAGTCTTGTTGTCCCAATTGTTTATCAGATCTGTGTTGAGGCTGGAATGAGTAGATATGCATCGACTGTAGCAGGCGTCCTCATTCTTCTTGGTATGTCTTAAAATGGAAAAAAAAATGCCTTCAATGAATCAATAAGAACATGTTTGTTGGTCCATTGAAGGGATTTTTTGTTCCCTTTTAAAAAGTATATTTTTCTTAGTAAATATACAAATGGAAAAAAATAGCAGTAACTTTTGTAACCATTGAAGTAAATCGCCTTGATGCTTTCAAAAATATATTTTTTAATTTTACTGTTCACTTTTCCTTTCAAATTGTTTCTTACCATTTCTTTTATGCGGCAGTTAAATATATACAATAGAAAAGTACTTTACCATATTCAGTGAGGAATTCCACGGATGGTGATAAAAACTTTACTCAAGACACAAATATGCTTTGTGTAATTATTTTCTTTTCTTTCCTCAGACAATGCTCTGCTTGTACAGTCCAGGTTTATGCTGATGGAAGGCATGCTGATATTTTTTTCTACACTTTCAGTCCTTGCCTATCTAAAGTTTAGGAATAGCACTAGGTAATTGATATTTATTATCTACAAGTTTCAAGTGGCTCTATTTTCTAAGATTTCTCTAGCATAATTTCCTACCTCCAGAAGCAGGAAACTTTAAAACGGCTTGTTAAAAAAATTACAACCATAAATATTCATGGGTAATTTCTTAGGTGTAAATCTTAAAATGGCTCAGCGTAGAATTAGACTTTTCCCCATCTTCTCATTTCCATTCTTCTCGCAGAGAATTTGGACTGATGTGGTGGTTCTGGTTATGTTTGTGTGGCATTTCAGCCACATGTACTCTTAGGTAAGTTTTTTTTTAGAAAATGGTGTTAGAAGTTAAACAGTAGTTCAAATATTAAACCACATGCCAGTAAAATGTAGATCACCAAATCACATTCTAGGGAAATTATTCAATGGCACTCTTTTTTTACGAATTATGTTATTGTAAAATTTCTGTCTCTTACTTCATTTTCTTTTCTGTCTAAATGCAACTTTCAAAGGAAATTCCATCAACATTCAACTTTGCTGTACAGTCCATGATTAATCTAATTATGTATTTCTTCAGTGTAAAGTATGTGGGAGTATTCACACTGATTCTAGTACTTGTACGAATCTTCCGAGATTTCTGGCTGATGTTGGATGATGGTTCGAAATCTGATGTGAGATGATTCATATTTGTTTTCATGTATTAATCACTGCCAAATAATAAAGTGATGTAATTTTGATATTAATTTTTTTGCCTGTTTTGTGCATATCATGCACATTATTGCTTTGATAGGACAGTTATTTATAAGATTATCTGATAATTTTGGAAAACCTTAATGTAAAAATAAATGATAGGCATAATTTTTATGTTGAAATTATAAGGATGGTTTTTATGTTTTGTCAATGTAACCAAGCCATGGGAAACAACTTTGAAGAAACCAATTTTATTTACTCTACAGCTTACCTTAGTGAAGCACTTGTTTTGTCGCTTTGTTGCCATGGTTACGCTGCCAGTGATTGTGTATCTGTCTATATTCTATGTCCATCTCAGCTTCTTGTACAAAGCTGGTCCACATGATAGTGTCATGACCAGTGCTTTTCAGGCCAGTCTCGAGGTGAGGTAAAAATTAGGGGATGGTTAAATTAATGCAAAATTATTTTGAAAATTAGAGTCCTTGAGTAACCAAAGTTTTGATAAAAATGTTTGCATAAGGTTTAAAAAAATTAATTTACCATACATACTCTTGTACAGTACCACTTTTTAAACAAATGTTCGCTAAGAAACGGGCGCGACCTATCCTCTCCACATCAGTTTTTCTTGCTGTTATTTAGTTTGGAGAAGTCATTTATGCATAAAGCCGGAGAATCATTTTCAACCTTGTTTTGGGAAATTCGTTTTATATTTTAAAAAATGACAATCATGTAGTTTATGAAAATTGCTTTTCGGTTTTCAAATGATTATGGAAACATTTTTGTGGTGTTTTTTAAAGCAAATATTTCTGATATTTCATTAAAACAATGGCCATGTAATTCCCCAAAAACTAAGGCTGCGAAATGTCTGCGGGTCAACTAAAATTTAGCACTTTGATAACCCCGAACTTAGGGTGCAATCTATCCACTTGTGCGACCTATATTATAGTATGTACAGCACATGGATGTTATTTATTCTGTTATGAAGTCATTAGCTAAAATTTTGAATTTATATTTTGTCTTTAAATAAATTAAAGCGAAATCTAAAGATTGGCAACTCCTGTGGGAAAGAAAGAGCATATAAAGCCTTTATCCGTCCGATTTTAGATAATGCATCTTCAGTCTGGGACCCATTTACCCAGAAGAGCATTGACAGGTTGGAGGCGGTCCAGCGACGAGCAGCACGCTTTGTCCTAAACCGCTACAGGAATGCCTCTAGTGTTGGCAGCATGCTAGAAACACTAGGCTGGTCACCATTGGAGAAACGACGACGACAATCCAGGCTCTCCATGATGTACAAGATAAATAATGGGCTGGTCCACTGTTCCAGTATTAAACATCTCTCCCCCATAGACAGCGACGAGGCCATGACAGGCAATTCAGGCTCCTACCAGCAAGAAGCCAGTATAGGAGCTGCTCATTCCTGCCCAAGACAATCAGGGACTGGAACAATCTTTCAAAAGGAACGGTTGAGGCGACAACACTAGACACATTTGTGTCTATTGCCTCCAGCCTTCAAACCCCTAGTGCATGATTTCCTCATCAACACCAGTAACAGAAACATTGCAAATCCCATCTACATGCATAGGAGCCAAAATGATCAATAAATTGATCGTGGGCCCTTAAGATATAGAAGAAGAAGAAGAAGCTTACCTAAACTGTTTTATTCACACAATATTTTTAAATCTTATTCATCGCTGAAAAACTATATCCCATTCCAAACCTCTTATAGTTTCTATTTCTAATGCTTCAAAACATCTCCATTCTGAGATAGTCTTATAAGTTCAACATTGCTGCACGCTATTCTTCTTGATTTGAAGATTTTCTTTTAAAGACTTACGTAATAAATAAGTTTCATAAATTTGATGGGGAAAATTCTTTTCTTGAACAATGAGTTCATGAAATTAAACATCTTTCTAATTTAAAATAAATTATATTATGTAATGGCATTCACAGCTGTCTTATGTTTCACAATCCAGGGAGGTCTCGCCACCCTCACAAAGGGTCAACCCCTGAATGTGGCCTACGGCTCTCAAATCACACTCCGGCACACAGAGAATGTGGCAGTGGGTCAGCCATGCTGGCTCCACTCCCATGCCCACATGTACCCTGTCAAGTACCCAGACAAGCGCGGCAGCTCCCACCAGCAGCAGGTCACGTGTTACATATTCAAGGACATCAACAACTGGTGGATCATCAAACACCCTGACAGGTAGTATACGAAATAAGAAACACAAGGTGGGGTGGGTAAAACCTGAAATAAGACAGGTAGTAAAATCAATGAGGGAAAAATTACATCTCAGCCTGATAAAATCTCCTGAACACTTTTTCCTGTATTTTGTCATATGTAGTACAGCAATGTCATGATTGGTAATTTATGAATGAAATGGAAGTTATAAAAATGTTTATTATTTTTTTCCCCCAGTGTATCACTTAACACAATCAAACTTAATTGAGCGTGCATAGTCATGTACCATCAACATGGTATTATTAAAGCCTTAATTGTAGTAACCTACATAACAACAATTTCATTTTCTGTTCAGCACATTCTGTCTGCCTGTTTGTATCGCATGCCTGACCTTGCTGCTTTAATTATTGTATTCTTTATATTGAAGAACATACTCTACTCAAGTCATTTCTTTTGAAATCGAATTTACCTTTGGATAACTAATTTCCAACCTAGCCCAAACACTATATATTTCAAGTATGCAAAGTAATCTAGTAGTTTTAACATTTTGGTGACACTTTTAAGGTGGAAAGTTGTGTTTAGAAATTCATCTACTCTAAATCTACTCTAAAGAAACTAGAGCTATCTTTCATAAAGCACGGTGAAGAAAATATAAATCGGATTCTTTTGTTTTCCCCTCTAGACAGGATCTTATGGTGGAGGACCCACCTAAACCAGTCAAACATGGAGACATAGTGCAGCTTGTTCATGGCATCACCAGCAGGGCTCTCAACACGTGGGTCTATCTTTTAGACGTTTCAATTACTTTCAGTGTTAATGGTGTACTGTTTCAATCCATCATTCTTGATTCTGGATCTATCACTATCAGTTATATTGCGTTTATGAATCCACATCTGAAACAAGATGGTGGACAAGCTAATTTGAGTTTACTGAAATTGATGAAAATCTGGACATAGTTGAAAGAATTTAAATAGAAATTAATAAAGTCAATGCCGGAAGTTAGGTTAACACTACTGGAGTAAACCCAAACAGCGATAGAGTACTGAAACCGTTGTTCACTGTGTCATTAAAAATATTATATCTCAATAAAGAAATAAATTAGCTATCTCTTTATTTTGGAAGAAAACCAACTTTGGGTAAAACATGTTGAATAACAATTTCAAAAATTAATTTCAGTCTGTCATCAAAACTGCATAGTAAAAAAAAGATCAGCAATTTTTTTCTTAAAAAAGAGCATGTTTAAAAAAGGACTGTCATGTATTTATACAAATTCTTAATAATGTGATCTGTTTTAAATTTTGGTTTGTTCATTGTTTTTTAAAAAAATGTTTATAATCATTTTATAATTATCATGGTCTTATGGAGAAGAAATTAAATTTTGGTTTACATTTCTTGACCAGCCATGATGTTGCTGCACCCATGAGCCCAAACAACCAGGAGGTTTCTTGTTATGTCAACTACAATGTTTCAATGCCAGCTCAAACTTTGTGGAAAGTGGTTTGTAAAAATTTATAGTTCATGGATGAAATATTGATTTCTTTTTTTTCTTCTCAATATATTTAAATATATGGATATATATAGTTTTAAAAATTTCATATATTTTATGCTACATGATATATAATCAACTACCATATTTAAGTTTCCTGTTATGCATGGGTTTTATCTAGAGGAGAAGGTTTTCACCCCAAATGTTTTTTTTTTTAAATGTCATAAATAAAACCTTAATTTGTGTGGTATATTTTGTTAATTTTTAAAATAATATATTTTTTGACAGGATATTGTAAACAGAGAAAGTGATGATGAAACATGGCAGACAATAAAAAGCCAGATTCGTCTAATTCACGTCAACACTTCAGCTGCTCTCAAGGTAAGTGTACCTGCTCTCAAGGTAAGTGTAGCTGCTGTCGAGGTAAGTGTAGTGCAGCTGGTCTCAAGGTAAGTGTAGCTGCTCTGAAGGTAAGTTCGTTGTGATATTTGGCTTTGGAAAATCTTGTTTTGAAGGGTTTTTTTTTTCTCTCCCAAAATATTTTTTAAAATGGTAGGTAAACACCAATGATAACGCCAAAATTAAAATAAATGGAAATGACAACACTAGAGAAATTAGTTTAATGGGGTTGGGGTTGTCAATAACTCTTATACAGGTGTGAATATGTGCTAACAAAGATCCAGAATTGTGTTATAAGCTTGCACTTAGCACTGTTCAGTATGAATCTTGACAGAATTGTTTGAAGTAAGTCTGTAATTCTTTTAAAAGACTACAATTTAAAAACTAGACAAATTCTGAATATTCACCATTTTTTTCAGACAACAGGAAAACAATTGCCTGAATGGGGTTTTCACCAACTGGAAGTTGCCGCCGACAGGATGGTGAATCAGAAGGCCACAGTATGGAATGTTGAAGAACATCGCTATACCAGAAGTCAGTGGAGAATCCTTTTTCAGAAATAAGCTTCGGTTTGAAAAATTACTTGGACCGACAACTTAGATGTTCTCTGTTTATGTTAGATAATTGTTAAAAAATCTATTTTATTATCAAAGAATTGACCCTTCTTCAATACTCCTAATATGAAACACAAAGTGGAAAAAAATGGTTAACTATCCTTAAAGTAGATGCTTTTCATCAATAATTCAGATAGTTAGTTAATTATTATTTGGAAACCAAAGTATTGTTATTATTATATCAAATCCAAAGTATAAACACATGTTGAAATCCCCAGGCTCAGAAAAGGAAAAGCAAGCAGCTGAACTTCAACAGGCAGAACTGATCCCTCTCAAACCTACCTATCTATCATTCTGGGCAAAGCTCTATGAGCTCCAGGTTAGAGATTTGAACAGGATAAGATCATAATTTTATCGGGCTTTCATAAAAGTTGAATGAGACTGAGGAGGCAGATAAAGAAAAGTGAACATGAGTGTTAGGTAGAGGCCTTTAAAAATGTACGCTTTACAGACTTCTGAAATATGATACCAGGAGGGTCACTGCCCCATTTATTTTTATACCATTGGAATATAGACACAAACTTAGATTGTATAGACGTTATGTGAACTAAGTGATGAACATGCCTTTGTCATCTGCAACAGGTATGAAAGAACAAAAAATTAATTTAACTCCCCTGAGCTTTTTTGATGTCGGCTATTTTAATGTCTAATTTTAACCTATGGAATCTGTCTCCACATGGGGGCCTTGAGTGTAAAAAATATAATTCCAAGATAAACTCTCTTGGTTTTAATGCCATTACTTCGATCTGTATGTTAAGTAAAAGCTATTTGAAATTTACTTAATCTGCAATCAGTATTTTCTTATGTAATTCTGAGACACCCTTGCAGAAATATGGAATGAAAGAGGAATGTCAAGTGTTTATTCATTATTATGATATGTAAAATGAATAAATGAACAATTTAAATCTTATTTCCTTTCTGTATCACTCCTTTTAAAATTTTGTTTTAAGTTATTAACTTCAAGCAAACATAAACTATTCTAAAGTCTTAGCTTCTTTAGAGTGTTAAAAGTTTCAAATAATTTTCAGATTAAAATGTTGCTCAGCAACCAGGATGCCAAACTTGAACACAAGTACAGTTCTGGACCAAAAGACTGGCCTTTTATGAACAGAAATATTGCCTATTGGATGAGCGCTACTGATAATGTAAATGTTAACAATTACTTTATAATGTAATAATATCATAATAAATTCTCAAAGGTGTTTTATTTGTTAAAAGGTGTCACGAAAGGATTAAATTCAGAGAGATGTGTCACTGACATGGGTAGACAATTTGGAAGTTATTTCAAAGTTTGTTGGAGTTACATGCAGGAAAAGAATATTTAAATTTTTGCTCTGGTCTTTTTAGTCATAAATGCAGTCATTCCCTCCACTGGCCAAATGTGTTAATCCACCAGTGTAAAAGAAAGGCATCAACTTTTCAATATTTAATTAAGAATGATGTCTGACATTCATAATGATGTTTACAGGTAAATGGCATTTAAGATGACTGACAATATTCTGAATTAATACTCTTATAAAATTACTTGTTTTGTATGATGAACATAAAATGTTTCACAGCATGTTGGAGCCACAGGCAGAAAAGTGTGAATTAATTACAAACAAGATTGTCTCACTATTATTTTTGCGCAAAAACTATCCCATTCTCAGTCACAAATTCATCTGGTTGGCAACATCGTGGTGTGGCATGCTTCAACTGTGTCGGTCATCTGTTACCTAGCTGTTCTTCTGTTCTATTTACTCCGGAGGCAAAGAGCAATTTTTGATATTTCAGAAGGTAACCATCAAAGTGTCATTGAATAGAAGTAAGGAAATATTTTATTGTTTTTCTTATAAAATGACAATTATTAGTCCGCCCACTGTGTTAGTTTGTATTCATGGTGGAAATGTTGAGGATTAACCAAATCCTGAACCATACTTGAGCTAATTCTATCAGCATCTGGATATTTATTCTTAAAGGTCAACTTCATAAAAAACATTATTTTTTTTTTCAGCAAGATGGCAGCATTTTGTTTTTCAAGGCGAACTATTCATAGGGGGCTACTTTCTCCATTATCTTCCTTACTTCCTTGAGGATCGAACTCTTTTCCTTCATCACTATCTGCCATCAGTTGCATTCAAGGTGCTTGTACTAGCCGCTCTCGGTGATCACCTTTATTCGGTGTTACCCAAGTGAGTAATATTGATTTGATGATGAAATTGAATAGCATATACAATAAAACTATAAATTTACTTATGTCAGGATAAGAAATATTGGGCCATATTTCTAAACTAAATGTCACATTAACTTCTGGTTATGAACCACTGAGATTGTGTGTGTGTTAATGTTTCCATTTCTCTAATCAACAGCACATCCAAGCTTTCTGCCATCATCAAATACGGAACAGTGGTTCTCATTGCTGCAACGATCCATGCTTTCATTTGTCTGTCTGTTTTTACCTACGGCAGCGAGGCCCTCACCCCACAACAAATTAAATCTTTGACCTGGATCGATACCTGGGATTTTCTCTTCCACTGAAAGAACAATCCTGACCTGCTGAATCGAAACGGCTTGTGCAATTATTGATTGGAATGGTCCCAACCTAACAAGTTATAAATCTCACCTGAACAGGTCAACACTTCCCTGCTTCATCAGTCTAAGAGGGAATATAACTGTTGCATGCTGACACAATTATCCTTTCTAACCTCCATTGTAAACATCTTCATATCATTATCAATAAATATATAATAAATGTAACATTATTAAAAATTGTTGGTTTAATTAAGTTATATATATATATATATATATATATATATATATATACATATACACACACATACATACACATATATACATACCTTCTGGGATGATTGTCAACATTATTTTCCAGTTAATGCATAATGGCTGTGTTGCTTATGGTTGAAATGGCTAGAAAGACTTTGCCATTGTATGCTTGTACTTAGTTTTTGTAGTGTTGCGTTTGTTTTAAATGTGGTAAACTATAGATTGTTTTTTGTTGACTTTGTACCGCGCTTCGAGCCTTTGGGGATGAAGCGTGTTTTTGAAATGAACTTTATTATTATTTATTATTATATATATGCTTGTGTGTGTGTATCTGTCTGTGTATATATATATATATAAAAGATGTTGGTACAGTGGCATTTAAAAAAACTCAGCTATTTGTAATTTGTATTGGAATAGATTGTCAGTTTCCTAGTGTCAAGATCAACCAAGTGGAATCTCAGCTGTCTCCTATTTTTATATTCATTTATTTGTGTACTGGGTAAACTAGAGGCAAACAAACCCTGGAAGTCATCACTGACCCAAATCAGAAACAACTGACTTCAAGCTATAAAGTAGTTTTTTTTGGGGTAAAAAATTCCTTTTAAGAATTGATTTTGCTGTTCAATAACCAATTAAAAACAGAGTGTTTGCAATCATTTCCTTGAAAATTTTAGTTTAAAAATAAAGAACAGGAAAAAGGATTCAGAGAATTTGTTGTTTGAAGTATTTGTTTATTAATTATAAACATGAACTTATAAATGTCAACTGACATTGAAATGCAAATAAAAATTGATGAATTACATTGTTATTTAACCTAACTTAAAGTTAACACCAACAAAAAACAAAAGAAAGTTATAACACTAATTAACACCCAAGTTTATGAGTGTAACAGGTATATGATAAAGTCACTTGTTATCTAAGGGCATAAGTCACTTGTGTATGTTAATATAATTGATACATTTTCTGATGATTTAACATGCAGCCGGATCATGTTAAATCAGATCCTCTTCTGCTTATAAATATTTACTGTATTTCTTCAATCTGCTCATGTAAAAAAAGCTACAACACAGCGATTATGTCACAGAAATAATTGTGTGAGTTCAAATGAATGAATTAATCATACATTGTTTCACTTTAAAAAAAAAAAATTGTTAGCAATATCAAATGTTTATAATTACAAAATTAAATGATTTTTCTCCTATCACTATAACTGTTATCATTTCCCTTAATGATTTTAAATGTCTGGGTTTTAACTTGTGATTATTGTTGGAATTTTTTTCTGATGATAAAATATTATATTTTATAGGGGGCTGCAAATTGTTCTGTCATTTTTTTGTTCAAGCCTAAATATAACTTGATCCACTATTTATTTAATAAAATAGTAACTCATCTGATTTGATTGTCAAAGAGTTTTTGCTTTATAAATTAAAAAAACTTTAAAAATATTTATGCATTATTGGTTTTATTCTTATTGCCATTATCGTGAAATGAACATTCCTGAAATATCTATGTATTCATACCAGTATCAGTGAAATAAAAGAGGGAAATATAATTGTTTGCATTTTTCTTTGCGTTGAATATAAATTAGATGAATTTGCATTTATGTATACATCCATTACCTGGGAAATGGCAAAGTCTCCTCTGCTACTATTTTTTCATTAAAAATTAAGTAATCTTTATAAAATTAATGAAAGTGATAGTTTTCTAGAAACATGGTTTTCACGCTTACATTTAAATAGTTTTGGTAAAAAAAAATATTTTGTTTGTGTAAAAATAATTTGTACTTTGAATGGTATATTCAAACAAAGTTTGGGAACCTCTGCGCTTGTCACAAAGTAATGGTGAGTTTCCTATTAACATAAACTCAAAACAAGCAAGACAATGTTGATAGTTTAAAAGTTTTATAAAATAAAATAAAAACAATATCCACCAATTTTCAACATGAATAGGTTACAGTTAAAAAAAATCAATTCTGTATTTGTAATATTAACACTGGTTAAATACTGCCTGGATCTCAGATCATTTTAATAAATGTTTTGACTCTTAAAATGTTTTACTTTTACATATCAAAGTAACAAAAATAAGGGCAAAAAACAAAATCACAACAAAAATAATGCAATTAAATGCACACAAATTTTTGGCTTGAAATGTCTTTTTTTATTTTAAGGAAATTTAGAAAAATAAATTTCAAAGGTTGCAAAATAAAATCGTAAGGTAAAGACAAGATCTAAAAAAAAAAACACCCCAGTAATTGTTAAATAGGGAGACACAAATGAGTCTAACCCTCTTATAATTAAAGTTAAAGCCAAATAATTGACCAAAGAGCAGTCAAGTTTTTATTTTGAAAAATCAATGGCAAGTAGAAATTAAGAAATCAAAGTTGGATTAAAAAATCCAGACAATTGCTAACAGCAAAATTTTGTCAGTCGACAGTTACTCTTAGGGAAACAGCATATAGTAAGTAGACTTTTTAACAAATACTATTATTTTATTTATTGTTGGAAAAAAATAATCATGCAAAAAACATGTCAACCTGTTCCCAGATTGAAATTATTGCCATTATAACAAGATATGCCAATGGAGTATTTTATCCTGTGGGATATTAATACTGCTCAATGAATTTTAAAATAAAAATTATTTGGCTAAATGGGTAACAATATGGAAAGAGTGTGTATCTCTTTAGATTTAATGGGAATGATATAACCAACATAAGGAACCCTCAACTTTATATTTATCTCATGCAGCCATACAGAGATTGGAACGAATTTACAATAAACTATGTAGCTTTGCAACTAAAAGTGTTACAGTGCCACCATCACAACTGTTTGAAAAAAAAAATAAATAAAAAAAAAAAAAAAAAAAAAAATTTAAAAAAAAAAAATAAAAAAAAAAAAAAAAAAAAAACAATAATTTAAAATAAACTATGTAGCTTTGCAACTAAAAGTGTTACAGTGCCACCAACACAACTGTTTGAAAAAAAAATAAATAAAAAAAAAAAAAAATAATACTTTGACTTATCTATCTTCAAAACTTGAAAGATAAATGCACATAAATCAGAATAATAATGTGTTTGCAAGCTTCTGAAGTATGTTAAATTATGCTGATTGATAAAAAAACAAACAAAATCAAAGTGCTAGAAGATCACCAGTTATTTTGCATCTTTAGCTATAATACCAATAAACGACTTATGTCCAACAATATCTAACACTTTGTAAATTGATAGATTCCTTCTCCTTTTCGAGCTTGGATATCAAAATTTTGGCTTGAAATGTCTATTTTAGGAAACTTAAAACAATAAATATAAAATGTTGCCATTTCATCAACAAAAAAAAAAAAAAAAAAAATTATAAAATAAAAAAAAAAATTCAAATTTTAAAAAAAAAAAATATTAAAATACAAAAAAAACCAAAAAATAATCAAATTAAATTTAAAAAAAAAAAAAAAAACAAAAAAAAAAAAAAAAAAAAAAAAAAAAAAAAAAAAAAAAAAAAAAAAAAAAAAAAAAAAAAAAAAAAAAAAAAAAAAAAAATCAATGGCAATAAAAAATAAATTTACATGAGATTCAAATTTGGATTCCCAAATTCAGATGAATCACTTTGACCTTTTACTTAAAATTTGTATCTTCTTTATAGTTGGAACTTAAAATTAAACCAAATAATATCATCAGTTTCTTATTATTTGAAACAAATAATCATATGATAGCAAGTCAACAATTTAGTTCCCAGAGAGAAATGGAAATAATCCCACTTCACGGCATGGATTTATATCTATTATTATTTGGGGTGCCTCCTTACGACACCACCGTTTAACAGGAACAGCGCTCAGACCCAATAGACGGGGTTCTGCTGTGTTTGTTATATATCTTGGTAATCATATTATTATTACCATTTACTTTAGGCAACGTCCCTAGTTTAAGTTTTAAGACTTATAAAGGGAAACAAAGTGCAGCCTATAATCGGAAAAATATGGTATTTATTGTCATGTTATATTCCACTCTATGAAGGCACTTTATGAATTAAAAATGTACAAGTAGGTTTATGATGCCATCATCCTAACGGTTTGAAAAATTGTTTCAAAAGAATTCATTGAAAGAGTATTTATCTTGAACACTTGAAAGAAAAGTGCTCAGAAGTTAATGGGAATAATAATTAAAGTATTTGCATAGTTTCAAAAGGTATGATTATATATGCTGCTCAATAAAACAACAATATTAACATAAACCTCAATTTAAATAGAAAAAACTTCAGACTAATCAGTCCTGGAATAAAAAATAGAAAGGTAAAACAAACTGTACCCTTCTACAGTGCATTTCATGTGTTAACATTCAACATTTATTTATTTTTTTTATTGAGCCCTATAAAGCCATCATCAATATTGAGACATGAACACCTTTAAAATACCTATGTGGATGTAATGATTAGTTTATAAATGAATAGTAACTACAGGAATAACATGGACTCAGTCCCAGCTGAGACTTATTGAGTGAATGTTGAGAACAGCTATTAATTTAAATAGCTTCAAAAGATGTTTAAATCTCAGAATAGTTTAGCAGTTAAATATTTATTTAGTTAATATTTATCAATTCATACAGAAGAGTTGATCTATTCACTGTATGAAATATTGTTTCAGTAACTATATTATTTGAGTTTTTTTTTAAAAGATGGTAACTTAACATTTAAAAATTGATTTGATAGTATTTAATGGTACTTAATAGTTCATATGCAAAACAAATTTTTTTGGTGTCAAAATAACGAGATGCATGAATATAAGTATATTTTTCCATTAAAAAACAACAGGGTAACAAAAGAAAAAAGCATGAATATTCTTTGCCTTAAATTCCTTATTTTCATAACATATTTTGATTTTCTTAGGCATAAAAAACAACAATACAACAAAAATTTGGATGGCAGGAAGATATCACTGGCAGAAATATCAATCTGTGGTGAAACATTTTTCTCATCAATACACAAAGAAAACAATTTTGTAATAACCATTAAACGTCAACTTTGAATGGAAGTGACTTTGTATTCATAAATGCAAAAAAGATCTGCCACTAGATAAAGTCAAAAGCAAACAAGAATGTTTGAGGCACATTTCTTCAACAAGTAAGACTACAGATGTGACACACATGGAACTGGCATAAATTATTTAAATATTATTGACACTTTTTAACATCGGGCTCTAAACCAAGTACTATTTTTTTTTTAAGTTGTTGTGAACCAAAACCACTGCATGGTTTTAAACATACAATATAACAACCATTTTAAAAAATCTGTAAGAAATCTTGAAAGTCTATAATTCACGAGGAAAAAAAAAAAAACCCAACTAAATTAAAAATGAACTTATCTTGCCTACCTTGATTTCCAAAATGGCACAGAAAGAAGTAGTGATGGGAAGACTTTCAATATTTTATGACATTATCAACAGCCTACAAACAGCAGTTCAAACTAAAAGGGCAACTCTTTCAAGAATCTTGAGCCAAGGCAATTAAATCTTGAGCCAAGGCAATTAAATCTTGAGCCAAGGCAATAAAATCTTGAGCCAAGGCAATTAAATCTTGAGCCAAGGCAATTAAATTACTCATGAGAGATAAATCTAAAAGATTGAAGGAAAAAAAATCATTGTTACAGCTGTTCAGAGATGTTTGTTGACAGAGTTTTGGGTCAAGTATTCATGGGGACAGTGGCACAGACATGTTAAAGGGTAGATAGCATCAAGTGTTTATGGGACAATAAAGTCCATAGCCAATGAGACAGCTATGGTTAAGATTTTGGAGTTTTGTTATTTAGAAGCAGTCAATTCTTCTTTCAACATGGCATCTTCTTCGTGTAGGGCAGCAAGCTCTGCTTTTAAAGCATCAATCTCATCCAAATACCAAGCTTCCTCTTCCAGAACACACATTTCCCAGACATCCTGTGGACAACAGGAAATAAGTTTTGAGATGATATAATTATAGTTGGACTATGTTAATCGTGAAAAATGAAGTGATAAAATTTTGTAAAAAAACATGAAGTAGAAGTGGACTCCTTCATTATCAGTTTGTTGCATAATCATAAAAAGATCTCATTTTTGTTTCCAAGGTGCACTATGCAATTAAGCTTGAATGCGCTGAATGATGTAAGATAAGATAAGATTCTTTATTGATCCCAATAAATGGAAATGTTTCTTGATTACATTGTATATTAATTTTCAACACATAAATACATATTTAACTAAGACAACATTTTTACAAATATAACAATTTAAACACAAGAAATCTAAAGCATTTCTCTTGAGTAGAAATCAGCCATAAATGAACTCCTATAGAGACAATAATGACTCAATTAGTGATAATTTAGAATTGGTAAATTCGTACAGATTGGGGAACTAAAGAATTTTAATATCTTTTGGTCCTAACTTTAAGAGAGAGAATTCACCCTGATCAATCTGACCTTAGGTATCTGTAATGAAGATGGTGGGATATATCAGTTTTTCAAGTGAAGGATGTTCAGTTTGTGTGATATTTTTAGTCTATTTAATCGATTTATGATGTTAGACAATGAATTCCCACACCAGCAGGTAATAATGAAGTTTAGTAGGCTTCTAACTGATGCATTATTGAATAAGTTAATAACTTATTTGTTGACACCATATTCGTTAAAAAAAATTAAAGATAGAAAAGTATTGGGTTGACAGAATTTGTCCGTGTTCATGCCATGTCAGCTCATTATTAATGGCGACACCTAGGTATTTATATGTCTCTATTTGCTATACTGTGATTATTTAGAGTGAGATCTGCAATAGGGTGATACCCCTCCAGAAGTTGACAACCTTTTCTTTCATTTGTGAGACATTAAGCCAATGTTGGTGGTATCATCAGTAAATTTAATGACTCGAGTGCGTTCCTAGGGCCCTGAAGATCATTGGTAAATATTGTATACAGGATAGGGGAGGAAACGCAACCTTGCGACGCTCTGGTACTTATTTCTCTCGTTAATGATATTGGGTTTTCTCTAATTAATGATATTAGGTCATTCACCTTGACATAATGTGGGCGACTGGTTAAAAAGTTAAGTATCCACACTTGAATATTTGAATTTACACCTAGAAAAAGAACCTGAGCTAAGTTTAAGGGCTGTCAAAGTAATGGTAAAGTCTTTTCAATAATAATCCAAAATAGATGGCATCCTCAGTATTTATGGCAGATTTATAAGCAAACTGGTGGAAGTCAAGTTTTTGCTGTACTTCATTCAAAATTTGTATAAGTTTCTCAAGACTTTCATTACAATCGATGTAAGTGCGACAGGATGTAAGTAGTTATTGGAAGTGACTTTATTTTTCTTTGGAATAGGTATAACTTTTGAGGTTTTCCATAACTTTGGTAGGGTATGAGTTTTATAAGATTGATTAAATATGAAACAAAAATGTAGGAGTTGTTCTGAGCAGCAGTCCACTTTATTTGTCTGGCCCCGAGGCCTTGGCTGTATACACTTGTTTAAATAAAAAACATCATACCCTGCTCAGTGACCCATAATGGATCATCCTGTATGATAATGGTATCATTAGATGAACTCATCATGTCATTATGCACATTTCCAAAATCAGGGCCTCTCAAAACAACACTAAAAGACATCAAAAGTCATTTACAAAATTATTCCTATTATCCACACACAAGCATTCAAGCTCAAGTATATTTCATGTTATTCCTATTATCCACACACAAGCATTCAAGCTCAGGTATATTTCATGTTATTCCTATTATCCACACACAAGCATTCAAGCTCAGGTATATTTCATGTTATTCCTATTATCCACACACAAGCATTCAAGCTCAGGTATATTTCATGTTATTCCTATTATCCACACACAAGCATTCAAGCTCAGGTATATTTCATGTTATTTGTTTTAGTCCTGCCCAGCAGGCCTTTGAGTTGTTTTTAAGGAACAAGTTTTCTATTTTTTTTGTCTGCATTGTTTTTTGAACTGATATAGTTTTTTTTCCTTCAGTAATTTTTTAGCACTCATGAATTCGTGTTGGTTAGTTTGAAACATTTTTTTGTGTGTAGAGTATGGTCTTGGTAAACATCGACCAACCCGAAAAACCATGGGTGACAGATGACCTACTTGAACTGTGTGATAAACGGAGGCAGTTAAAGAAAACAAAAATGGTAGATACAGAGGGGGCACTTAAATATAGGACAGTCAACCAAGCCATCAAAAAAGGTATGAAAAGGGCAAGGAAGAACTGGATTGAAGAGCAATGCTACGACATTGAAAACTGCTGAAGAAAAACAAATAGCAAAAAAGGTTACCAGTTGGTGAAAGAACTAACCACTGCAAAAAAAGGACGTGGTACTACCATAAAGGATCAAAATGGTAAATGTTTAACCGAGGAAAATGATATCATAAAACGATGGACTGAATAATGTTCAGAGCTGTATAATCAAAGTATAAAGATAGACCCAGAGATCCTTAATGTCCCGCCAGCAACAGACAATGAAGCAGCAGTCCAAGCACTCCAAACAGGAAAGGCCGCAAGAGCGGATAATTTGACTGTGTGTGTGTGACTGTCTGTGTCTGTTAATTTCCTCTGTAACTCCGTCCTGCTGACTTATGTACCTTACCTGCTGTAACAGCTCCAGATTCCTAGCACCTCGCCTGTAGAAAGACTCCCCTCCATTACAACAATATATAACTCTATGGGCTGGCTTGAAGCTCATCACTGGAATGAACAAAGCATTATATTCAACAAGTTAACTGTAGTTAAATGTTTGCATTACCGTTTCCTACTTTAAGGCCAGTATTTTATTTTTGAGTAACAATTCAAGTAATACTTACAAACCATTTTTTGTGTTGCAGTTTTTGTTTTGTTTTAGCATAATTTTTAGTGGTGCCAGGTTAGAAATTGTGCAGCCTCAAATTCAAAATGATTAGGCTTTTTAACTAAAATATATACTTCTTTTTAAAACTTATAAAATTTTCAAAGTCAGAATACATCAATTAATTTTTTTTTTTTAAAGAACCAAAATAATAACATCTACAGCCATAAATTTAATGTCATTTCCAGCAGAAAGGTGAGTTTTTTAACACTGGGTTTTGTCAACTTACCAACAACAAACAGCTCTTCACTCTCAGTCGCTTGTTCATTTCCCATTTCTAGTTGAGGCTCTACAACAGGTACGAATCGTACCCCATACTGCATGTGGAAGATTGGTGGAACAACATTGGACATGATCTGGTCTAAACCCAAACGGATTTCATCTCGGATAGTCTTGGTGAGTTTTTCACCTGTAACAACCCCAGTCTCGTCGACACCAAAGTAAAACTTGCCTCCCAAGCCTGAAACAAACAATAGAAGGATTGGAGGCTGTCTACACAAAATTATAATTTTATGAATTAATTGGTGACATTGAGGTCACCATGAGATAGCAGGTTCGAATGTGTTCTTGACTGCTCACAGCTAATGGCAATAACTGGGAAAGAACTGAACCTGTCAGCCCGGGAAACCATTTATTCCTGGGGATGGAGAACACCCTGTGTAGCAACAAAAAACCCTCACAAAAAACAAAGGTGGGGATAGCATGATTTGACATGGAAAAAATGCCCCCTCTCTACATGAACAATGTGTACAGAGTTGAAGGGAGTAGAGCACTTTGAACGATTAGTTTACAAATGATGATAACCATGTTAGAGCATACACCGAAACACATGGATACATATAAATAAATCACTCTCTGACATACAATAACAGTGCTTCACAAAGTAGTTGTTCCACATTAGATATTTTCAACTATTGTAGTGAAACTGAAATCAAAGACAGCTGACACAAGAAAATAAATATTCATTTCATCAAGAGTTGAATAAGAAACTTTCTCTATCATACCGAGAAGCCACCTTTCACTTACCTGTGTTTAACATCCCACAAACAATGCGGGAAAATACATCAGGGCTCAAGTTGTAAGTATGGTGAAATTCATGAGTTATGTCAGCTACAAATGGTAGCTTCTCCCCTGTTTGCAAAAATATAAAGTAAGGTATAGCAAACAGACTGAGACAGACAGGCATTCAACTATTTGGCAATCAAAATTAAGTAGGAAAATGGATTTTTTTAAAATTCATACCCAACAAAATGTGTATTTATTTTTTTTCTTCTTCCCAAAAAAACATTTTTAATGTTAATTTTCAATGAATGTGTGGGTGTAAAAACACAAACATTTTCAATTATTTTAATTTTACAATTATTCAGGAGAGCACAGAAGAACTAACTAAAAATAATACTAATTATAAAGAGAGTATATTCAATTTTTTTAGAGAAAATACATGGTAATTGTTTATAGGTCAGCAAAATCTGTGCAACTCCCAACACAAATTCAGATCAAAGTTTGGATGTAATGGACCTATCATAGTACAATTTGCATAATGCACCCCTAAACAAATCATGTATAAAAAAAGGGATGAGATTTACCAAGCATAAACCGCACTCTGTTATCCTCAGCTTGGTTAAATAACACACTTGTGACATTGCGTCTGGTCAATTTGTCATGGTCTGGTTAAAAATTTGTCAGGAAAAAAAACACCATTTAGCCAGGTTTTCATTAATTCTATATATTTATATAAGCTCCAATATGAAATGACGCATGGCTTATAGTTACACACCAAACACATATGTATTATAATTTGAATGACAAAACAAAAGAACATGTGAGAGAATATATGAAAAGACAACAACCCACAGATTCAATGTTTTGATTGAAGCCAGCAGCACATGGCACTGACTGCCATATGCAGCTGGGGGTTGGGACAATGTAAAATAAATAAGGAAATGAGTGCTAGTATGGGACAGCAAGAGGGAAGCAAATGCTGTCCTTTTGGATACCAAATTTCAGCTAAGTTTTTATTTTATATTGTTTTTACTGTTTGCTCACTGAAGAAGGCATCTTGTCGGCACGTTCATTTTTTTGTTGCGTTCTTTTCTTCCTGATTTTCCCATATTTTGTTTTGCTCATTTCCTTTTACCTAACCTGATTGCAGTCTCTCCCCCTTATTATCCTAAAGCCATGTTTAGACTACCATTAGGCTTAGATCTTGGCTCACAGTTTTAGTAATGACTAAATATTGGAAATAGCATTTTCTAATAAGTCTAAGAAAAAAACACAAAAATATCTCACCATTCCTATCTGAAGAATCACCAGAGTCAGGCTGTAGAAGAAAACAAACAAATAAGTCTAAGTACTCTGGAAGTTTGTGTTAACAGTGCACAGAAACACAAAAGTGGTTGGCTAGTTAACTTTTTTTGATGACATGATCAAAATAACTGGCACGTTTGGACTGTTACCAATTCTTTGAATATGTAAGAAAAAATTAATCCAAAAATCTATGGTAATTTTAAAAAAAGAAAAAAAGCCAATAAAATCAGATTATATTGTTCTTGTTTCACAAATAAGTAAAAATGCCAATAAAATCATTTTTTTTTTTTTTGTATCTCAAATAAGTAACAATTGTTAATGTTCAAAACATTTCTCAATAAAAACAATTCTTAAATAAGGATTAAAATGGCTCAAATTTTTGGCTCCTTTTTTGGTTTGAAAGAGTGAAATTTAATTGAAGATGAGGAAAAGATACAAAGAGATTTGTTGACACATAGCAATGAGAAGATATCTTCAAGAAACAATATTCTATTAACCAATGAAGTGCACCTTGGTACAAATTCTAGTTTTTTAAATTATAATTTTATTTTTTAAAAACTACAATAACAAAAAGAAAAGCATAATTAACCATTTTTGTTGTTGACATGTTACAAAGATTGCTGAGCCTTGGTTTCATTAATCTGAATGTTCAATATAAGACCATCATAAAACAATTCTCACTTCTTGACAGATACCGTAGATGTGTCCATTCTCATTATGGGATACACTCCCTTGGCTAGGTACAAACTTATTGGCCTTGGTTGGTTCTTGCCCTTTAGAAGTTTGTATAACTTGGTTTTCCTGGCGATTTTCCTGTGCGCCCCCTCTATAACAGAAGTCATTAATACAATGGCGCTTATAATGAAAATACAGGCCTACGTATTTTTGTATAACATTTGTCATGTTACAGGAGCTGTTTTTATATAAAACCAGCATATTTGTAACACAATGCATAATAAAATTATTATTTGTATTTTCATTTAAAATATAAATCCCAAATCTTTCAAAATCTAAGAAACTTTAGGTATAAGAATGAGAAGAATTTTTTTTTCTTACTAAGGCAACCTCATCAATCAGAATACATTTGTTTTTTAGTGTTGCCTAACTCATATTGAAAAGACTTCAAAAGCTTCTCAACAAACCTTGGTGACTTGAAAAGGGGATAGAATCGTTCAGAAGCACTCCTAACATAATTGCACAAGACCTGCACTGAGCTTTTGTGTATGATGTGGTTTTTGGGATAAAGTAGGTTGATGCGGATGACACTGAGGATACCTGAATTGTGAGGTAACATAACAAACAAATGAACTTATGATGAATGGCTAATGCTAAATTAAGGGAATGGAATTGTTAACATTCAAAAATTGAAACCTTACACCTCTTCAAGCTCTACAGTTTATGTCTGAAAGTTTCTCAAACATCTGGCTTCATTATAAATCAAATCCAGTGTGAAAATAGGTTGCCTGAATATTTCTGTTACAGTATAGCCTATGCCTTTACCTATTTTTTTGTTTACTTCAACATAGAAATAAGGTGTCCACTCCTCCCCTCCCCCTTATTTGTTTAAAATTGACTTGACCGATGAAACCATGCCCCTCCTTTGACTGGGAAAAGGTTGTTTATACTTGGATTACACTCTGTTTGTTCTAAAGAATGCCACCAAGTGACGAAATTTCTAGAATTTCTTTATTAGAGGGTTTTGATTTAATCTTTCTATGTAGGCCAGCAGTTTTCATAGCTGGGAGAGATATTTGCTTATTTTCATAGAAATTTACCAGACAATATATAATTACAAGATTGTACTCTTTAAGTGCGTGTGTAAATTAATATTTCTATTTTTTAAGGATTGTAACTTTTCATTTGCAGTGCGTAAATTGATATAATTTTTGGATTCTGTATATATGAATTTGTATTTTTTCTGAAATTTAACAATATAATAACTGAATATTGTTAGTATCACTAGCTTTGGTATTGTTTTCTTTATATAATGGTTTTCAGTCTTTTGTTAAGTATTGTTCATTCTACAAGACAAATCTTTTTTACTTAACATAATAACAAAAGAAAAAAAAAAAGCAAAAGCAAACTGAAAAGTAGCTTTAATTGATTGAAAGTGAAATATCTTACCTTTGTTAAAGCAAAAGAAGTTTTTTGCTTCTGGACATATGAAAAGTCGATTGCTGAGAAGTAAAAGGCAGTTATTAACAATTTTTTTATTGACTGTTTTGCTGACAGTTCCATGTCCCTCCAATGGGACATTCTTTTTTTGTGTGGCCTCATTCTCCTCATCGCTGTTAGCTGAGCCATCACCCTTTATAGTCAGCTCTTGTCCTTGCACCCCTTCACAGTCACCAGATGTTTGCGATGAAGGCAGTGCATAACTCAAGGCAATATTTCTTTGGACGCATTGCTCTAAAACGTCTGTTGATATAATTGAAGGAAAATTCTTTGTTTTCTTGGTCAAAATTTTGTACCTACATACTTTTCAAAATCTGATCGATTCACAGAGATTTAAGTTTAACTTTAAAATATATGTAAACATGGTAAAAATTCAATGATTATTATGATTATTCTTACACCAAAAATTTGAAGGGAAAAAAGCAGTTGATAAATCACTGAGAGTGCATTTTTAAACATATATAAAGAGAGATACAAAAAATATCAGCACTAATACATTTTTAATTTTAAAGCTCGATTTATTTTGAGGTTATTTGAAGTTAAACCCTTTAATGCCATTAGTGCTTGCTGATGTCCTCCCTATTTCCCTAATCCGGCTTGCCTAACATGATGACGGCAAGTCAGACAGATTCTCACATATGACGCTGAGTAGATGGTACTACCACCAGGTGACAGTGACCATGGTGGTGCCCAGAGAACTTTCACTGAGAGTCAACTTAGATAAACTAAAAGGTTATTCTCTAAATATTCATATTTTTTTTTATCGTGATTATAAAAATAAAAATTATATACAATTAACAATTAAATAACAATAACTTTGAATGTTTTATATTTTATTATATAATTTAAAAAAAAAATAATATCCACATTTTTACACAGTTGCGTTTGCTTTGGTAAGTGAGAAAGTTACAGCTAAAGCAGGTTAGGCAGTACTAAGTTAATTTTTCTGACCACAAACGTACCTAGGCAGCTTAGCATAATTTTCTTCCATTTATCGCAAAAGGGAATTTTCTTTCTAAACAGCAGATTAGCACTTAGGTTAAGGGCTTGGTTGACTATCTCATAATTAGGGCAGCCAATCAAATTAGGAAGTGTGGATAAAATTCCCATCTCCAAAAGTTGGTCAGTGGCCTTAGGCATATACCTTAAAAGCGATGAAATATTTAGAGTTAGAGTTATACACATTCATATTTCTATAATTCCACTTGCTTTATCTTTGCATATAATGCATGTTTGTAAAGAAAGGGCAGTTCAGGAATTGGGGGGTATCTCTCACTGCACCACCCCAGACCTTTGTTGATACAAGAAAAATCTGATTTTTTAAATATTAAAATGATTCCTCAGCCTGTATGGGTCATACAAGTAATTATAAAGTACCAAAAACAGTGGCAATATTAATTGACTTTGAGCATCTTCTCATCCCCTACAATCACCTGTGTTTTTCTTTTAAAAAAGTATTATATAAAAGTTATTTTTTTTTACAATTACCTGCAAAGAACATTCAGGGAAGCTAGAGCCAATTCCACAGCTCTAGAATTTAATGGTGTGGGCAAGATACCTGCAACAGCATCAACAACAACAACAAAATTTACTGGCAACAGAAACAGTATAAATATAAAAGAGATAATTTGTAGATATTAAGTTTGGACT